TAAAAGGAAATGTACGGTTCAGCAAAAGTCAGGAAAATTCAGACTTTTTAAAAATAGTAAATCATTTCTTGAACAGGCCAGAGTTATTATGAAATAGCTTGTAGTAGAACGGTAACTTAAAAATCCAACAGAAAACAAAATATATACAGATTCACTGTGCCACATGCTTTTTTTTCCACTTTTTTCCCTAAGATTTCATAAACAAGTACAGCCTCACTGCTTCCAACAGCTCAGGTAAATGCAAAAGTTCTATACTTGAGGGATAATTATTTGCCTGTCATTATGATGTATGACTTTCGATCTTTGCTAAATGGAACAGCTGAACAAGGAAGCTACAATAGCCTTACCTGCACCAATCACACGCTCAATTTTAATACAGGAGGCATCTAGCTCCTTGGCGAATTGATGGACAGCTCTATTTGGGTCCTCATAGGTTTCAGGGTCAATGTAGGTTTTGGTGCCTGGAAATTTAACTGTAATGATGTAAGAAAGCATGACTGTGATGAAGCAAAGCACTTATTGTGCAGTCAGCCCAGGAATTTCATTATGCAGAGTGCTCCTTGGAACAGTGAACTTGCTTCCACATCACCTGATTCACAGCAGTTTTAACAGACTACTTCAGTCTGCTGACGTATAGGTAATATCTGCAAGCTTCTATAGGTAACATAGGATCCATAACATAGGCTACTAACTGAATTGCTTTTCCAGTAAATCAACAAAAGACATCCACCAAAATTTCTGACAAGCCTATCAGACTGGAGGTTTAATTAAATTCACTGCTATCATGGCATAGTTCAAGCCATATGGAGGTTTGTAATGGACTTGGAAACACATCTGTAAATCTATCAGTCAGTCAATCAATCAAATTAATACACTGGGAAAAGAAGACATTTCATTTACAGGTAGCCTACTACACTGACAGCAATATTAAAAACATTTAGACATCTTTCTTATTCTTTTGATTTATTTTTTTAAAGACCAACCACTGTTGACATATACATAAAATTAATACAAGATGTGAGGGACTGCTATCACAGAATCAAAGAGAAATCTTCTAAAGACATAGTTTCTTCTTCACCTTGAAGGGCAATAGAAGCCAGATGTACAAAGTACAGAGAAAAGTTAGAAAATTTACAATATTCCTGGGATTTGTTAACCAAGTATGACAGCGATTTGAAAGAGGAATGGTTTATATGAACTTTCAATTATAAGGCTCTGGAAGATCTTAACTGCTATGAGGAGGTAGCCAAAATGCCTCACAAAAGGTAGTTAAAATGCAAACAACATAGAATCATCTTAAAAGTTAAAATCTTAAAATGCACCCCAGAAGCATGCAGGTAACAAATAATGCTATGTCAACTATAAATCAAATTCAATTACAATAATGTATTCCAAATCTAATCATTTGGTTAAAGACAAAGATAAGATAGATAGGCATATATTTGGTTATATTAATGCAATGAAAAAAATTACACTATATCCTCGAAAAACTTTATTGTTTTAACAAAGCCACTGAACAATCTTTTCATCAAATCTTACTATTTGCAGAACAATGTATTTCTTTATATATTACACTGCAGCCTAACTGTGCTTATGTCATCACATTAAATTAAAATTATATTTAAAAAATAAACACATAACAAAAAGAAGCAGAATGTATAAAGGAAAATGGGATTTAAAAATCTTGATTTATTCTGCTGTAGTTGATTGTTTATCCAAAATTGATTGTCTTAAACAATTATTGTTGCAGTTTATAAAACTGACAGATGCTCATTTGTTACTAAAGCTGAACATGAAAAAAAAACAACACGAAGAAAAGAGAGAGGGGATAGAAGGAGAAAAGAGAGAAGAAGGAGTATAGGGAAGAGGGGGGGAAAGAGAAAAAGAGAGAAGGGAAGAAAACAATAGGTTAACCTCCTAGATTGGCAGGCAGATGGAGAATGAGCCATCTTCTCCCTTTTAATTCTCTCTTTCTTGTTTTTTTTTTTGTTGTTGTTGTTTTGATAAGGGAGCTAGATTGGAGGTAACCTTCTGTATCTCAAATGGTCTCTGATGGTTCTTTATTCAAGCTGTCATAAAACATTTTGACAGGCCAGAGCTATTTTGGCATAAAAACATGAAATACTGTCCAGCTTGTATTTGAAGATATTGTTAGAAGAAATGGTAGGAGGAAACAAAATGTAAATTCGAATTGCTTCACTAAACTCCTCCATTGTGTTTATGTCTTTAACTGTAGCACTTGGGGCCATGGAGAGTTGAGGGAACCTGATACAAATGACTGGACATTCTATTAAATTCAGTGCTCTAAAAGCTAGTTAAATGGTTGCTTTCAAGTTTCTGTAAAAATTCAATCTGGTGTCTTAGCACTTATGAAAATTGTCCATGTACTAAAGGAATAAAAGGACACCAACTTGTAAATAGCTGGTGACCATAGTGTTGTGCTTTATGTATTTTAGATAGTCATAAAATCAAATAAAATGCCTGGTTCCCAT